TGCCAGTGACAGCCAGGGTAGCGAACTGCAGAAATGTGCTGATGTTGACAGGCTGGGCTGTAGGGAAGCATAAATTAAACTGAAAGTGGAAAATGAAGATTACTAAATTCTGAGTACACTTCAGAAGAATTCTTCATTCTTTGTTGGGGCCCCCAGCAACAAAGATACAGATCATCCTAAAATAGTAATAGTAGTAATAATAATACTAATAATAAATAGAGTAATTTTAATATAATGTGGAAATAACTCTTCAACCTCAGAGGCATGATTCATTCCTCCTGAATAATTAAAAAATAAGTGGTTTTGCAGTTAGAGCCCACAGTAGAGGCTTCTCTAAAGAATATAGAGAAAACCCGAAAATTTAGCTTGCTTTTGCTAGCCATTGACTCCTCACAGTTGTAATACTAGGATCAGATCTGGGCTGCAACCAGTATTTCATTCAGCCTTGTAGCTTCATTACTACCTTTTTTAAATACCTTGGTAGATATAAACATCTCTTCGCTGTTTGTAAGGGATACCACATTCTTAGCACTATCACATTACCAAAAGTAAAAAAAGATAAAGAAAGTATCTTCTAAATATTGAGAATAACTTTTAAAACCGGATTATTTATGATTTTCTTTTCAGCACAATTTAAGTGGTTACCATAGCTGGAATGAAGTACAGTGCACTGCCAGGAATTTCAGAAAAGGCCCTTCCAGCCCCGGAAAAGTTCAGTTGCATTCTACTTTAATGGCTTCTGGCAAGCTTGCATTATTGTTTTTGTACAAACAGAAGTAAGTTTGATACAAATAAAAAATGGAGCTTTACGTGAATGAAGCAAACATCAAATTCCTTAATCTTCAAAAGAAACTGTATCCCTGAATAATTAACTATGATATATTTATAAAACTAGAATAATTGAAAACAGAATTCTAAGTTGATTCATGTGGACTGCGCTGAAATATTTATTATTGCAAGTCCAGAAGATCTGTCTGGGTTTTGTCACTGGAAATGTCTAAACTCAGTGTCCAGATGTTTATTTAAGTTGCTCCCACATAGTTCTAATGTCAATTACCAGGGGTTATCAGAGAGCATCACTGTGTATCTTCCTTGACTAATATTCTCATTTCTTCTGCATCTTTGATGTTTTCTTTCATTAAAATTCCTGGCTCACAGCCACAAAAATCTGCCGTGCAGGCAAAAAAACTGGTCTGCAGACATGACACATGATGATGCCCAATGTCTGTGCACGGATAATATTTATCATCAACTATCATTTAAGCAGTACTGTAATCAGTACAATGCCAACTTAAAGCAGTTCTGAGAAAGACATGTGAAGCCAAGGATTAGGAACTTCTCATCAATATGAAATAACCTGGGTCAGTAAAGAAAATATTATTACATATAAGAAAGGTTTTGTGAATCTGTGTGGCTTGGGTTTGGTGTTTTTTCCCCCCCATAAGGAAAAAAACAGGGATAAAGTCAATGAAAAATAATATCACACATAATTACAAATGGAATTGATGGATCTGTAGCTCTGGAAACCAGAATTAACACCAAGACTTTTATAGTAACCAGGAGACAACACAGACCACTCGTAACAGTGACTTAAACAGAAAGGGCTTATCACACAGTCTCTGAAGGTTTCATACATTCAAATACAAATAATAGCCAGATAACCCAGCTCATGTTTATACACACACACACACACACACATATATATATATATATATTAGCTGTTACCCAAAATCAGGGGGTTAATTTCATTGTAAGCAAGTTCTGGAAGATTAATTTTTAAAGATTTGTAAGTAAACAGAAGAAAATCAATGTTAATTCAATATAAGTGGAACTATAGCTATAAGATGGCTGAAGAAAAGAATGCCAATGCCATTTCATATTTTCAAGTTAGTACCCAGGTACTAATACCAGGTTCCTCTCCTGAGGAATTTTTGTTCTCTTTGATCTATAAGAGACAGGCACCTTGCAACTTCAATGGAAAACTGCTTAAATGACTTGGGAATGTAAATCTCATTGACTGTGTGATTTACTCTCCCTACAGTGTCAGTTTGGGAGGGTGTATTCACCTTCCAGGGAAAGCCCTAACAGCCGAGCATTCAGCCTTGCAGAGTCATTCTCCCTCACCAACATCTCCTACAAATGGTGTGTTTGCACCTCCAGATTCAGTTATGATTCTGCAGCACAAGGTTTGTCACAGTATTTGAGCCCAGTGCAGCACAGGTCGGGCAGTGCTGAAAGCAGCTTCAACTCAGAAATGTGTGCAGGAGATCTTGTGCTGCTACAGCCAGAACTGCAGCACTCCCACCACTGTCTGACTACTCTCTGAGTAAATTTAATGTGTATGTTACTGTCATGAAGTAACAACTGAGAAACAATTTTTCAGGAATAAAAAAAGAAAGAAAAAATGTACAGAAATTTTACAACTGAAATTTCTATTCAGAAGTGTGTAAAGAATATCTCCTATCAAGTACTCAGCTTCAGACTCAGCAAACCTTGGACTGCAACCACTTGCCACATTATATCACTGTCTTGATCTAATAAGCAAGTACATTAATACCAGCTGTGTGGAGAGAGGGAGGAAATAGGAATATGTTCATTAAGCATTATGGCTCCACTTATATCCCTCATGATTTCAGTGGAGATCTGCCAATTCATGCATGACACAATTATGGTCCCCATATAAACCTGAAAGAAAAGCAATGAGAGTGTCAGTACAAATTCTTACAAATTTTCCTGTCAAGAAACCTGTCTTAAACTTACTGCTGGAACACACATTCACTCATATTTAGGTGATAGAAATTAGGTGATTAGAAATGCTTAGTTCAATGATTCTAGCCAGTTGGAAATCAATTTGCTTCCCACACACATTTCACTGGGCTCATTTGTGTCTCCTCACATCCAGTAACTGGTTCACAACTCTTATTCACAAATTGCCTTGCACATAGAGATTAAACAAAACACAGAGCAAATATCCCAGTTCAACAGAGCACTTGCACATAAATGTTCCTAGAGGAATCAAGCTTTGACTTCAGTATTACAGTGAAGCTTTCATGCTTCACCAAATCAAGGGGCAATTTAGAAAAAGCTTAATAACCAAGTGATCAGAACACTTGTTTTAAACAAGAGATGAACAAATGCTTCTAAAGTTTTGCATACATAATAATAATAATAATTACAGTATGAGTTTACAGAGGAGTCAAATGTAGTTGTGCATCCATATCCCATGAAAAGTCAGTGTGTTGGAAAACGTTTGGAAAATGTTTGGGCTGCAGTCAGCTAACATTTGCCCACCACAGTGGCAGCAGTGACATAGCACTGCAGAGAATGAGAACAAAATACAATCATTAGCTGACTGAGAAACAAACAATACCACAACAAAATAAATGTTTTTGCACAGCTGTCTTTTCTACTTCCTTTTCCCTCCCAGAACGTGGGAGTTCACAACCTAAACACAAACATTAGGAGACCAGGAAATCTCAATGGTGATCTCCACACATACCACCCTAAAAGCAGTGAATTTGCAAAAAAACATGTAAACCACAAACTAAGAGAAAAATACAGGTCAGTTAGCATCTCTCTGGAACCTACATCCTGAAAAATGTGTCCTTCCAAAATACTTTGGAGAAACTATGCTTGTTTCTTATCCTGTTCTGAAAAAGCAGGGCTGGGAAAGCTGAGAAAAGCTGCCTTTCCCTACAGTAGAGCCCAAAGGGTAGGACACAGCTTCTTCCAACACAGTACCCCCTCAGCTTGTCCTCTTTATGCCATTCATTTCCATTTCTAATAAAAGGCCAGTTGCAATTCCCCTGGCCCAAGTACACTCCTTGCAGGCACTAACTTGCTAAAGGCAGAGGATGAGCCAGACACCAGCCGTGCCAGAACTGGGTGCTACTACAGGTCATTTTCACTGGCAAACCCCAGCATGCACATGACTGAGGTTCCAGGCTCCTGGGTACAGGCAGCTGGCTCTGCAACGGAGCTGCACAAAGGAACAGACCAGCTGCCACATGCACACCTACAGTTCGGGCTGCTCAGGTCCGAGGCCAGGAGGCTGCTAAAGGCTGCCAGCTTGTGGTGTGTCTGCGAGCTCCATACACAAGCCCCAAAACTACTGCCTGGGGCTGCTCATGGACCACGAGCAGCTTTTGCTGTGGCTTCCCACTCAACTTTTGATTCATCCATCAGTAGTGTCTTGGTATTGTTTTCCCTGACCTCTGATACTGTGGCAGGTTCAGAAATTTCACATCACAGAGCCACAGTTTCCAAGTTCTCTCAATTTACCAGCCCCATTTCCTCCACACAGGAGCTCACAGCTCACTGTCACTTTTTTTTGATCACGTAGCCCTTAGAAGTAGTTCACAAGCTAGACAGAACGCTATCAACAGAACTCTAAAAAACATGAAAAGCAGCTATGTCTTTTCTACCCTTAGTTATTCTCGAAGTCTGCCAAGAATGAAGTCCAGCAGCACTTAAGTTTTTCTTCGAATGTTATTTCCTAAATACTTTGAATAAATTTTTAGATGGCTAAATCCTCCAGATGATGTTATCACCATAGCAGGCAAACCAGATTACACGTTCTCTCCCTCAGGAAAGGCTAAAGCTGCTGCACAGACAATCTGCCACAAGGCTTTTCTTCTGAGCAGTTTGGGAATCAGGTACTCCCAGCAATGCAGAAATCAGGTGAGTACAGCTGGAGCTGCACAGATCCCTGCCTCACATGTTACAGCTCTCTGGCTCACAGGTCACATTTAAGCTGTGGCTCTGTGTCGTTTCTCAGACCTGCAGGATTGGACAGCTTTAGGTCTCACAGGTCTTTTCTCATCCATTTGCATTCCTATATAGTGTTCCTGTTTTCCCATATAGCAATAATTTCCTAGCTCCATCTCCATATTTTCCTTGTAAAGCACTAAAGCAAAACAGTTGCAATTCTATTCTAAATTTTACATGGTCAAAACAAAACATTATTCACATGAACGACTTCAAAAATATATTATCCATTCTTTATTTTTACTGTGTTAACAGCTTCAGTCATTCTTAAAACAGAGAACAAGCTCCTCAGCTCCCAATATATATTTTGAAATGACCTGGAACTGGGAAACAATGAAATACATAACAGCAATACCACACTTAATCAGAAGTATTTTTCAATGTGACTAAACCATTTATTCATCCTTTTATTATCCAACAAATCCTTTCATGATCCTCTTGTACTCTAACCTTCCACAGACTTCAAGATTGCACACCCTGTCTTAAAAGAGGACTCTTTTTAAACCTGATTTTGCTTTCTTATCATTCACAGAATCTTAATGCAAGTGCACACCTCTGCTCAGAAGCAACAGCACCAAGGAAAGCTTCTAGGTTTTACAAATTTTAAAATAATAACTTAAAATTCCTATCTTTAACTTGGTTTTGTATTCACACAAAACTCTCCTCCACAAGAGCTCCCCAAAACTGCACTGAACAGCTACAAATTGTTTAACAAATACATAATGCTCTTTACCTGTTACCACAGTGATTTCCACCCCATGCTACCTCCCCTTAAGGGTGAAGTTTGACCATTCAGGAATCATTCTGGGAAAGGCCCAACATGTTGAATGCTATCAAGATAAAGATCAAGAAAAATGCCTATGCTTTTCAAAGTTTAGAGAGCAAAAGTATGTGTTAATTGCACAAGGAAAAGAGTTGGTTTAGTTAGCAGAAGTGTGTGGTCAGCAGAAGACTAGGTAGAGGTAAATTTCAGTACTCTAGAAAACAAGTGCCTGTGTAGCTTTGTGTGAATTCCTTTAGCACAGAAAAGCCAGCACAGAGAAAAACACACCCAGCATCTTTCAGAGGTGTGACAGCACAATCAGTACAGGACAAGGGCAATGATACTAACCAGGGGAAGAGATGCAAACAGCCTGGAAGCAGTAATTTATGTTTCATGAAATAGCAAAGGGAAAGCCAATACAATTCTGAGGCTGCTTGTCCTTGAGCAGTACAGACTGCAATAATGGCAGGGCTGATGACAAGACGCAGCTGGACAAGCAGGTGGCAGCATGGAAAGCATTGATCTGAGAGATGAGCTGCATCCACAAGAGAAGATCATTCCTCTGGCCCGTGAGTCAGAGCCACGTGCTGGACAGAAATAGATACAACTGAGATCCACTGGGTCATCAACACGGATGCTGGGGGATGAATGTGAATTGCCGAAAACAAGCCAGAGAATTGCGCTGACAAGTGATGGTGAGAAGCTGGGAGGATGAAGAAGGAGCATAGACAAGAGAGGAGGGAAAACCCAAGTATGAAAAGAAGGAAGAAAGGTGAAAAGGTCTGGAAATGACAAACACCTGCAGAGTCTGAAACCAAAACAGGAAATAAGGAAAGCCTCAGGAGAGCAGTCATGGGGAAAACACAAAGATATTGAGGCCTCTGTGAGGTATTCAAGGGACTGAGGCATGTAAGGAGGTGCCAGGTAGACAGCTGGTATTTAGATGGAGTTCCAGAAAGCAAGATAAGATAGCAGTGGCAGGAGGAGGCATGACACATGGCAGGAGTCACAGACACACGCAGCAGTATGTCACAGGAAAGGAATGGGTGGTGCAGGGATGCAGAATATGGATTGGGCTTAGTGGCAGCAGGTAAGCCTAATGAGAAAAAGGGAAGAGCAGCTGAGGAGAAGGCAATGATCATTGAGAACAAGAAGGTTGCAAGAGGAAAGGGTTCAGGAAAGAGCAAGAGATGATCTAGTAAAAAAATATCACAGTTCACTTAGCAGCAGTTCCATCTGTCCAACTGCAGTGCCAGGGGATGGACTCTGCCACAGGGACTGACTGCCCAGGAGGGCTTGTGGAGCACTTGGGAGAGATTTACTGCCTGCTAGGAAAGCGCTGTCTGCGCTCAAGGAGTGGCTGACACCTTCCTCCCACATTTTCATCCTGAGCTTTTTAAGTGACTTGCAGCTGGAGCAGCCTTGGTTTCCAAAGACATCATTTCTGGAGGAACATGTACACATTCAGGGACAGCCCTGCACACATAGCTGTGGCAACATCTTGGAAAAAATCTGGTGTTGCCAGGCTATACAAGGAATTTCTGAGGTTTGCTTTTAAGAACTGAACTCAAACTAGGCTCAGAAAAATCTTAATCCACAGTGAAAATACCATTGTGAGATACTTGTCAAGTATGTTCCTTATATTTCAAAATTCAAATTATTATTTATGGTCTTGTAAGGAAGGTTGTTTTTTGTCTTCGAATAAGAACCAAAACTTAAAAATACACACAACACTTTATCCAAGTAATCCAGAGAGTTGATTTCTTAATTTAAAGTATTGGACTATGAAAAAATAGTACCTCCAAAGTATGAAAGCAGTGTACAAAAATACAGAAAAACATAAAAATCTTTAATAAAAATAGTAAAGTCTTCAGATTAACTTGATCTCTTGATGTGCTTTGCCATAATAACCAAAAATGAAACAGCAGAGTCCCTTAAAGCCCAAACAGAATCTGAGTTACAAAATAACTTTAAATTCTTACCAATTTGCAACATGAGGGAAAGTGTTATTTTAAGGTGCAGGCACAGAAACAAGTTCTCATGTGATAAGAAGTTACCTTACAGCCTAAAGATCAGGTATTTATTGCAAGTCTTTGGGCAGGCATTTTCACCCTACCATAAAAACAAGGCAATATTAAATAGGTAAAAGAAGTAGCTCACATTTATATGAGACAAGAGCTTTCATATACGTGAGCAGTTCACAGGCACCTCAGCTTACTTTGTGGACATGCTTCATGCCAAAGCCCTTTGCAAACACATTTGAAGAAACCTTCTCTTGTAGCTGACCCATCATAGATTGCAAAACTGTACTAGAGAATTCACTTTGCTAAAGCTGAGAACTGTGGGGCATTCCACAAGGATTAATTGCCACAAGTGCTCAAAATACAGTCCCCAAAGAAGACTGAGTAATTGAATTGTGCACATTTATGATGCCTATGCTGAACCTTTCCTGGAGGTGTCAGTGAAAATTTTAAGAAAAAACTGTCTAGATGAAGAATTCTCAATATTCAGGTTTGGGTTTTAAGAAGTACTGCATAAAGATCAGTTACATGGCTCATCCACAGACATCCTTTAATGTAGTTTTTCAGTCTTCTGCTGAAAAATAATCTTCATCTCTCACTTCTCTGTACTGCATTGAGGCCTCCCCCTCTGGTTCAAACCTGAGCATTTTTATATTCAGTCTCTCTGCAAGCTTCTGTGCTGCAAGCTTGGCTTGCATTTCCTGTCAGAAAAAAAAAAGACACAGATTAGAAAATGTGTTCATTTGTCATTCTCATTAATAAATTAATACACTAAAGTATAAAACTAACATCATAGTATCAGTAATTCCAGTGTGGGCTTAATTATAGTAACTAGCAAAGAAATTTCAGGTTTCTTTTCACACTTATACATAACTATGCTATTAATATTTGACTCTTTTTAATAAGGGTTTAAATTCTCCATGTGGCAGCCCCCACCTGTGATAGAGTAAAGCCAGTTTTACAAAAACACTACAATAGTGTCTAATTTAAGCATTAGCCTAACACTACCTGGAAAGTCAAAATCCATTATAACAGAATTTGAAGAACTTCAGAACCTGTATTCTTCAGACCCAGCATAAAAAAAGGCAAATGTAGATACTTGGATATTTTATCAATAACAAATACTGCTAGGACTTTATTTATGCAAGGGACAAAAACTCTTTCATGAAGACTAAATAAGTGCAATAAGGTCAGCATGTCAACACACAGAGGTTGTGTTTAATGTAGGACTAATACTTTCAGAGGCCAATATATTATTAAAAGAACCAAATACAAGACAACGTGCCTTTCCTCAAAATCTGCCCATCTCAATTCACCATCATGAAAAAGATCCCTCTATCTTTTCTTTTTTGGGAGTGATCCTGACTACATAGTTTTCACACCAAATTGTAAATTCATACCTCATAAGCTTCTTTTTGCTGTATCTGAATTGCTATGGATTCCTCTAAGGATAACAGCTTAGCAGGAGAGTGGTGAAGTGGTGGCAGTCGAGCTGCTGTGATGTCATCCAAATGTTTCTTATCTCTGAGTCGTCTCTCTTCTGGAGGAACTGGGGAGCCAAATCCCCCGGGTGATCGACTGGATGAGGAACCATGAGATGATCCACTCTGCTCTCCTGATAGTCTGGAAGACACAAAACACCTATGCTGTGACCCAAATTTGCATCACAAGGTTGAACAACTCCAGTTTCGAAACTTATTTTTAATATGTAAGAGTTGAAAATAAATCTGAAGCACTATGAAAACACAGACAAATAAAAAGTAAACAGCACTCAGAAAAAACAGAAGTATCTCTCTGCAGAGAGACGATATCACAAGTTACTCCTGACCGAACCAAACCAGTTTCCTGATTTATTAGCAAACTGAAGTAGCAACGGTTTGGGAGTCACACAAGGTACAGACTACTACCAGAACAGACAACATAAACTGTAATTTTCCTATAAGTGCAGATAAAGCAAAAGGCTTCCAGCTATTAAAGTTCTACATGTTCTAGAACTGGTCCAAAAGTTTTGCCAATTCTTTAGTAATTTTGCACCTTAGGCTATTAAATTCTATGATGATTCATGACAATTGTTTCAAATGGGTAGAATTAAACACTGCTTTGATTAAACCAGTACTGAGATTCTGTGGCATTTAAAGCTAAAGAGCCAATATATGAACCTTGTGTGTCATGAGACTTTAAATCTCTTTAATCATCACTAGAAAATAAAGCCATCATACTTGTTTGGTAGCATTTCCAATTTTATGCACATCAAGCATCTCACAAAAGGTTTTTCTGTGTCATGATACTTACGCATTTGTTTTAAATTTGGGTTTTTTTATGACTGGATTCTTGGCTCTGGCCTCTAGAACTTCAATATAATGTGGTGTCTTGGGATGCTGGCTTCCAAATACATTGCCCTTATGTTTTGCCACATCCTGCTCTTTTTCCGATATTTTTTCACTATTTTCTCCATCTGCAATTGTAACTCTTTGAAAGGCATCAACCAAGGCTTCTTTACTATTGTCCAAAGCAGCTGTACTTTCTGTACCACCCTCAGTATTGCTCTGGGAGGCTTGATGATCATTGTCCAGGTGATTGCTTGTGGCTGACTTGGAGACAACGTCACAGAAACTATTCTGATCCTTTGTAGCAGTCTTTACTTTATTATTTTTCCTCTGAGTCCTTTGATTTTCCAAAGCTGTATTTGTGGCATCTTCTTCAATACATTCTGCCTCCTGCCTTTCAGCAGAAATGTTAGAAATGTCTTTAATATTAGAGTTTTCATTAAAGACTGAGGAATCTGAACTGTTCACTGCATTCTCAGTTAGGACAGCTTCCTGTTTGCTTGCATTAATCTCCTCCTGTTTTGCCTGAAACTCCAACCTGACAGCAGATAACAGCTCAGTTGTCCTGGCTACTTCTTCCTCTTGGAAAATGGCAAGCTTCAGCTTTTCAGCAAAATCAGAGATCTTCTTACCCTTATCCGGAAGCCTAGCAATGAACTTCCTAAAACAAAGAAAGAAACAAACAAAGATTATTATAAGCAATCCTATTTCAACCTGAGATACAGAAGTTTTATTAAAACAGGTAATGGGACAGGTTTCACATTGCAACATCAGCTGCCTATTTACATACTAAACTTCTGAAACACAATGAGATGCAAAGCACTTGCAGCACAGCACTAACTACGTGCTGTCAGTGAAATATACGAGTCATTGAATGGTTCGGGTGGCAACTGACCTTAGAGATCACCTCGTTCCACCCCCTGCCACGGGCGGGGCCACCTTGCTCAGAGCCCCATCCAACCCTGAGCACTGCCAGGCACGAGGCAGCCACAGCTTCTGTCCCAGTGCCTCACCACCCTCACAGAAAATAATTTCTTCTTTCCGGATCTAATCTAAACCCACTCTCTTTCACTTTGAACCCGTTCCCTCCTTGTCCGTCACTGCATACTCTTGCAAATACTTTTGCCCCACCGTTCCTGTAAGTTCCGCTCAGGTTCTGGAAGGCCACAATTAAGTTACCCCAAACCCTTCTCTGTTCCAAGCTGAACAATCCCAATTCTCTCACGCTTTCCTCACAGGACGGGTGTCCATCCCTGTGCCCGAGGCAGCAGAGCCACACGGACACGTACAGCCCGAGCGCTGCCCCGCATCCCCAGCCGCTGGAGCCCGGGGGGACCCGCGCCCTCGCCGGCCCCGCAGGCGCTGAACGGGAGCGAGCGGTTCGTCCTCTGCCGCCTGCGCGGGGACGGGCGAAGCCAGCAGGAAGCCCGGCCCGCTCCTCGGCACCCGCGCTCCTCACCGGTCGGCCAGCAGCCGCTCCTGCCGCCTCAGCATCTCGCGGAGCTCGGGCAGCGCCCGCCCGCGCAGCCCCGGAGCCGCCGCCATGGGCACCCGGCAGCGCCCCGCGGGCCGCCATCTTGCCGGAAGCGACGGCGCAGCGGCAGGGCCCGACTTGCTCGGATCGCGAACGGCGGCACGGATCCCGCCCGGATCCGCAGCCCGAGCGGCGGCGGGACGGCCCTGAGGGAGGCCGGGCTGCGGGACGTGGCCCGCTCAGCCCCGCGCTGGGGACTCGCCTTCATCGTACGAGAATTGCAACAACAGCTAGGAAAGCTGCGGTTTGTGCCCTGTACGGCAGCCGTGACACGTGTGGAGCAGCGCTGAACAGCTGTGGGTTTGAGAGAAATTTGACGCCTTGTAGCAATTTTTTGGGTCAGCGCTTCAGCATACTCTGACTTTTCCCCCTCCCCAGACACCAATCTAGTATTCTGTCTAAGTTTTTCGACATCTTTTGTCTGTGGAAATTATTAAGCAAAGTCTGAAAAACTTTTTTTTTCCCTCAAAATTCTGGGATTTTCTGCTATCGTTTTTGGCCAATGCATAACTTTAAAATCCAGGGGTTCATCTTTCCTTGCCTATATAGTTTCCTATATATAGTTAGTTTCCTGTAGTTATGCTACATTTACTATATTTTAAAATCCAAGTTCTCTTTCTTGTGAAATACGAATGTTTCAATGGATATGCTCCAGCCACATTTTTAAAGTGAACAATTAGAAAAATTTTACTGCAGGGTCACAGGTGCCTGACGCGGTGCGCGTTCGTGCCGGTGCGGGCGGGTCCGGCTGCGTGAGGCTCCCGGGAGGCCGCGGCCTGCCAGAAACAATTCCAAACTGCCCAGGGCTGCGGGCTGAGAGACAGCGCTGACTCCAGAACTCCTGAGCTGGACACGCACACGGGTAGCAGCAGTGGGTCGTTAGTGAATGGCGATTCCCAGGTGGCAGCTGGCAGCTTTTTTAAGTTGATCCAGGTGGAGGTTTCTCGATCCGAGCAGAAGTGAGAGGCAGTTTGTCTGGGACTGTTAAAGCCGTTGTTCTACGAGCAGGATGAAGGCAGGGCCGAGCCGGAGAAGGAAGCGCTCTGAAATATCCGCCTGCGCCTGCCTTTGTTTGCGCAGCTGGAAGGCCGAGGGAAAGGCTGAGGGCCGGGGGAAATGAGATTAATCAAGTAGGCAGCTACCCACGGAAAAAATACCACAGTCAGGGTGAGAAAACCTGTCCAGTGACTACTTGAAGAGACCATTTCACTGTCTGTTATGCACTACCTGGATCATGTATGGAAAATCCCTTGGGGGAGTTCTGCCGAAGAGTTCAGGGAAATCACTTGAGTTTTTTTCACTAGGAGATCCCCGCAGTTACAGGACACAAGTTCTTTGAATTGCTGCCTCTGTTATGCAGGTGTAAGTCATGCATTTATGTCACATTTCCACATCTTGCAAGGAGGAACACTTGGTCCTGCAGATAGGTGTTGGAGCACTGGACATGGAAACCACTGCTGCCAGCAGGGAAATGAGAATCTAGAAGGAATAATCTCATGCTCTCACAAAATGTTCAGCTGCTTTATGACGTGTACAGAAAAGCAATGCCAGTATTTACAGTGGGTTTAATTTATGTGTTAAACTGCATAAACACAGAAAAAAGTAGAGCAAAAAATGAAGATAATGGCTTCTAAGAATCACAGTTGATCATTCTGTACCTGTTCACTAGGTCTGTATTTGTTCAAGTTCACTGGGAAGGAATATTGGGAATGTTAAATTTTGGAGTAACATTGTCTGTTTATAGGTAACCCACAGTCCCAGAATGATGAATATAGAACTGAAATTTGGAAGGTGCTGGAACAAATATATTCTTAGTTGTGAACTGGTGGGCAGTATCTAGATACAATGCAACTGAGACAGCATCAACTTTGGTAGAAGGAAATATAGATTTAGTAATTTAGTATTATTTCTATAAGAAAAGTTGTTTTCTGCTTTCTTCAACTTTATAAAATGTTACTTCTTTTCACTAGGAAAAGGAGCAAAATAAACTAATTTAGATTGTAAGGTTTTTTTTTTTAGGGGGAACTACCTTTACAGTTACTCTGCTCAGAAATACTGAGGAGCAGGAATAGAGGAAACAAGCTACACATACAATGTAAATCACCCCCAAAATAACAAGAAAAAATTGCATAATTATTTGGAATTGAAGAATTTTTATTTCATTTAGGAAAAAAAACCTGCTTTCTTACCAGCATGATGCACCTTTGTAATAGTTGATTTTATTTTCCTTATAGAAACAACTCCTCCTCTTAACCTTATTTCTCAAAAAAAAAAAGCCCTAAACACTTTAAAAGCCAATCTGTATGTATTTATACCTATCATGACAAACCAGTGACACTGTGATTGTCATGTTTGCACAACCTCTTCTTGGTTGACACATAGATTGCTTTATTTTTATTGTCTTAAAAATAAATCTCTATTTGATTTTTAGTAAACTTTTATAGTAAGTGGATATAAACTGAAAATAAAGATGGGCCACAGCTATTCCAGTCTCATCCTGCTGAAGCCTGGAGAGCATCGTCCCAGATGGATTCAGATGTTATCTGGAGGATCTGAAGCTGTTGAGGTTTTTCCCAAGAGTTGTGCTGCCCAGTTTTTGTTTATCCTGTGCAAGTCAATAGTTTTTTATTTCATGAAAGAGATCATCTACTTTTGTGACTTGGCTTTGAGAAAGTCTTTAGCCAGGGAGTGCCTTCCTGTTCTCAAGAGCCCTTCTGCCAAAGGAAACACCGACGAGAACATCGAGGCACCGCAGGAGCCGCTTTCCATTCCCACATGTTTGGAACAAACAAGGTTATGAACAGTAAGAGTCTGCAACATTTTAAGGTAGGTTTATTTCTAAAAGACTGTTGACACAACAGAACTACAAGTTTAAATACAGTGTTTATTGCAATTTATCCTTTTCATGTCCTGCATACCGGATGTATTAAAAGCATACAATGTAATACATTATTTGTACAGCATATATGAAAAGTGTATCCCAAAATACTTTCCAGAGTATCTGGAATAAATCACAAAAGAATACTTATCATGGTACAAATGTAGTCATACAATTGACTTACATTTAGTGTACTTTCTGAGACCTTCCTATATGGCTTTTATTGCTGTTTACAGAAATTTTACTAGTTTCTAATGTGATAGTACTAATTAACTCAGTCTCAAATTGAGAAAATATATACAGAAGTGTTACAGTCTGTTCAGTCAGGTTTGTTATTATCTATGCTAATTTACATTACTGCTCATTTGACCGGAAAGCTCTACATTTTCATGTAAAACAATGATATAAATACAGTTCCTCTCCTGTTCTTTACAGTTACCACATTTAGACCAGTAGTCCAATTAAGTGATGGTCACCAGCTCACTGCATGTCCAAATGCTCTTAAAATACAGCTTCAACTCCAGTCCTTACTTGGTTTAGAAAAAAATACTGTATTTCACCAAACATTCAAGATAAAATTTACACAAAACACCTTTACAGTAAAAACTTAAGGCCTTGCTGCATTCCTGGTAAAGTCTTGAGCAGATTATCATAATGTTGCAAGTCTCAGAGTTAAAACAACTTGCAGCATTTTCAGGAGATCCTCAGGACTATATTAAAAGTAGAATGAACTTCCTTTGAGTCTGTGTCAAAACAGCATTTTGATACTTACCCTGCCCTCTGCTATCATTCATTGAGCACTTCACAGTCATCAGGTTCTGTTTTCTGAATTCTGGCCAAAATCAGAGGGGTAAAGGATTTTCACTTTTTGAAACTTGTCAGTTAATGTCTTTTACAACAACACAAATTTCCTTTTATCTAAAAATACCACCTTCATCCCATTCATCTTAAGTTTGAAGGTGGTTTTCAGAAACCATGGCTCAGAACTCAAGTCCTGAAATTACAGAGGGACTGTTTGGGCACAGAAATGCTAAAAGACATTCTGTAAGACCTAAACCTGCGTCCCTAATGGACATTAATATACCTGCTGGGATTGGTTTTTAGTGTCTTTCTCTTCAAAAACAGACACTGTCCAAATATTTGCTGTTATCAGCCACTAGATGGAGATAAGATTTCACAGCTACAAAGCTTATCCCTGAAATCAGTTATCACTCATCTTCTTGTGCATCCAATATGAGGTCAGCATTATTATTTTAAATACAACTGTAGTAAGTGTACTTGATTTGAATAGACTGGACTGAATTGCATTAGGCTGGAGATAAAAGCAATCCCTTTTTGAAGCTCTGTGGCAAGGTGAGCACCTCCTGGGATTGACACTGCATACAACAATATTGATCATACAGAACCTAAGGTGTTTGTTTTCTGTTGCAGGTAATGTAATTTAAAAAAAGTCCTTCATTCATGTTAATAGAATTAAAATAAAATACTTCTAATTCATTTTAAATTCACTGAGAGTGGAAGATCAAAACAAGATGTAAAGAATACCCCATATATATATATATATATATATATAT